TAATTTTTATAATTTTTTATATAAATTAATTACAAAAAATTATATTTGTTATATTTTTAATGTATGTAATAAAAAACTATTAATATATATTATAGATTGTAAGTTAAAAACATATTAATTAAATTTTGATATCTCCTAACCTCAAACTTATATCCTTAGTATGGTAGATAAGACAACAAACCACAAAAACCTTTGCTTGTTTATTATTAAATGTTGCATAATATTATATTTATTGATATTTAATTAAATCAATAATTTAAATAATTTAACCAATTAAAATAATCAAACCAACACCCAGAGATCATAATGATTCGTTGTTCGGATCGATTTTCAAAACACTGCAACTGAGGCCTAGCTCAACCTATCACAAAAAAAGCCCGACCCACAGGTTGTGTTGCGGGAAGGCACAGGCTTTTTGGCGGTTGCGGGCCTGAACGCCCAGCGATTAAAGAGGCCAGAATGTAAGAGATAAATCTTTCTGAATTTCTTAATTTATGGTGATATGAATTAGACTTTTTTTAATACTTTTGGAGGTTTTTTTTTTAAATAATTTTATAATATTTTAACTTATCTTGCATGTAAATTCTTGATACAATTAATGTAGCTTCTACTAAAGTATTGTGGTTTAGTTAGAAATAGATTTATTTTTTATTTTATTAATAAAAATTTAATTTTTTTAAAAATTAATAAAAATAATTTTTTATGAAGTTTTTCATTTTGACGTAGATAGTGTGTCTTTAACTAAACTAAAAAAATTTAATTTTGAAGCATGCACAAACTAATTAAAAAATCATTCAACCGCTAAACCTAAAAACAAAAAAATTAAAAAAAAAAACAAAAAAAAAAGGACCAATCTACTACTGTCTAGCCTCCTCTCCATCATGGCATCATTTGTTGTGTTCTTGCGTGGCTCCAATCTGTTGTACCTATGATTTTGATGATTACAAAACACATTTGAGTGACTAATTGGTTTATTTAAGTTTGTAGTTAAGTTGCTAAAAGATTACAAGTAAACTTGGATTGCACTAAAAATAGGCCAAAAGGATTCAAAATGTGCAGAAAGCCGGCTCTGGTGAAATGGAAGTGCAGAGAGCCGGCTCTGGAAGCTGCAGTCGGCTCTACGGGTAAAAATTTGAAGATTGTTGTTGGCACGCGCGGAGAAAAGATGCAAAGCGGGCTCCAACTTTATAGCCTGCTGTGAGGGTGCATTTAATGCACAACGGTCGAGTCATTTGAAGATTATTTAATGTATTTAAAGTCGGAGTTGCAAAGCCAGCTCAAAGTTTTGCAGCCGGCTCTCGAGAAAAACAAAATGGTCTGCAAACCCAGATAGCCGGCTCTGGAAGTGTAAGCCGGCTCTGAAGAGCCAGCTCTAGTAAGTTAAGCCGGCTCTCCTGACAATCCTGCAGCTCGAGCTTTGTGTCCTGCAGGGTATTTAATGACCCCCAACGGCTAGAAACAGCTATTTTCGAGCAAGGGGCTATAAATATGGTTGGTAACATATCTGAAGAGGTTTAGAGAGTATTATATTGAATATCTTTACCTACCAACTTGTGCTTTAACTTGAGATTTTGATCTTTGAGAGATCTTTGTTTGTAATCCTCTTCTTGTGCTATTAGTGAGTGATCTTGGGGGTGTGTTGATTCCTTCAAGAGTGAT